CAACAACACACAAAAAAAAAGAGAGAAAAACAAACCAACAGAAACACACTCTCGCCTTTATGCCTCAGGGTTTAGGGTTTAGGGTTTAGGGTTTAGGGTTACGACCTTGAGTAGCAGCCTCTCTCTATTATATATTTATATAAATTATAGTTATTATATATATATTTATATTACTAATATATATATTATTTATATGAAGCTAATTTGTATAAATGTAAAAAAAATAAAACATTTGTTATATACTACAACGTAAAATATATAAAATATTTGTAGTTTTGTTTGTTTTGTCTTCATCTTTATAAACAAACAAAACGAGAAACATACACCTCAACTCTCCAGGTGTATCTGCAGCTGCTAATAGCAGCAAGAAACGGAAACATAAACAAATTTATGGAGCCAGCAGCAGAAAAAGAGAAGGAGACAGAATGCATGCAGATAGAGATAAAGCATAAACAAAGAAGGAGACAGAGAGGAGACAGAAACACAAAGAACAGAAACAAAAAAGGAGACAGAAAGGAGACAAACAGCAACAGAAAAAAAACAGAAAAGAGACAGAAATGAAACTAAGAAAGAGCAGCAGGAACAAAGAAAAAGAAAAAAAGATAAACAGCAGCAGCTCCACCGCGGCTGTCTTTCTTTGCTTCTTCTCAGCAGCCCCCGCCATACGAGGGGCCAGCATAAACCCTAAACCCTGCAAAAGGGTTTAGGGTTTAGGGTTTAGGGTTTGGGGTTCTCTATGCATCGTCATCGTCCTGGAACTCTTCCTTCATGAGCTGTACATACACCTCAACAGCAGAGATAGCAAGAGGGTTAAGAGCAGCAGCAACACCAGCAGCAGTAGCATGAAGAGCAGCAGCAGCAGCAGCAGCAGCAGCAGCAGCAGGATCAACAGCAGCAGCAGCAGGCCGAATGGCAGCAGCAGAAGCAGCAGCAGCAGGCTAAAGAGCACCACTATCAGCACCGGCAGCAGCAGCAGAATGAAGAGCAGCACTAACAGCAGCAGCAGCAGCAGCAGCCAGATGGAGAGCAGCATCAACAGCAGCAGCAGCAGGATGAAGAGCAGCACCAACAGCAGCAGCAGCACCAACAGCAGCAGCAGCAG